TACCTGACTACTGAAAGATAGCTCGTTGCGAAGAGTTCGCCCTTGATTTCTTCGATGGCAATCTCTCCCGGGCATGGCATGCCATAAAGAGATCTTCTTAGCAAAGGAAACTCGACAGCAGCTCCTTTGTCTGGCCACCAGGTCTAGATCAGCCACCGACACCTTTTGCACAAGGACTCGAGAGTCGAAAGCTCGTATCTGTATGGTGTCTTGCAGCGCTAACTGTGGGTTTCACTACTCCGACGAACAAGGGGTTGACCCAGCCGAGGTGGAGCATGTGCAGGGGCCCGTCAAGATGGCTTTGAGATTTGTTTGGTGCTCGAGTCCCAGTTTCAAATGGGCTTTGAGGTTACTCTGGAGCACACCTCAAACACGAGCGTTTCGCCTCCTCCAGACCCCAGAATCCCAACGCTGGCTCGCAGGGTCCAGATATATTGCTCGCTGCAAGCTCCACGAGGGGGGCAGAGCAATAGCCCTGTTGTTATTTCATGAGCAATTGTTTTCTCGTCATCATCTCACAGTGGAAACCCCTCTGTCCCCTATTGATTGCAAAATACGGTCAACCCGATGGAATGTGCTCGACATCTTTATTTCCAACGGGAACTTCCCGACGGCTCTGAGCACTTGGTCGAATGAAAAGTAACAGTCGTCAGTGGCGGACTTTTTGGATTGCAAACCCCCCTACATCGCCAAGATGAGACCACGTTTTTGGCATGACAAAAGTGGCTTGCAAAAGACACGGCACGTCTGGATCCGTCAACCTGGGAAAGAGTCGGGTTCGGCTGATGGCGTTGTCAACCTGTCAGCTCGGCCTCCACTATCTGGCAGTGCCTCGCAAACTTCCCATAGTAGTCGACTCGCAGGCTACATAGTATGTACGAGTGCTCTGTATCTCAAGCGGCATGTAGATCGCCTGTCTGGAGTACGATTGCTTGATGTCAGTTTCGCAGATCATCAATGTCGGTCAATCATCCACTTAGCCCAGCGAGGTTCGCCGAAACTCTCGACAACAGCACTTATCAGAAGGGATGACTACAGTGCTCCGTGGCATTGACTGACAGCCCTCTGCAACAACGCAACTATTAGGTGGTAGACGAGTAAGTGGATCCATGGATGAATTAGGTAAGACCAATGTGCTTCCATCGCCACTATTAGGGTGTCTTGTGGTTTTGACAGCCGGACTATGGAGTCCATAGTGGCATACCTCACCTAGTGGAGAATTATTGGTACGGCGAATGCGCGAGGTGTGGAAGGGGGTGGGATTCTACCAAGGACATCTTGGAACGCCCTTCGCTTGGATGACAGGTACAGACCCTGAGGGAGTGGTTGGTAGGTTCTTCAATATCATGCCCGTCAATCACTAACAGACAGCTTCCCCTTATTCTTGACTGGGGCCTATCATCCGTCGTCACTACACGCCGGATGCTTTCAGTCTTGCCTCCAGGTTACACAGGACGCGGCTCGAGAACCTGTTGGTCGCGTCAGGATGGAGCGATCCTCGTTGACTATTAAAGCCATCCCTTGACAATGGCTCCGATATTACGAAAGTGACCTGTTCAGCTGTCGCTCCCCTCTCCGCCCTCGCATACCATCGCCCGTCGTCAACGCCTCAACATCATCATGGTGACGACGGTAGCTGATGCTTTTGACTTTAATCGAACTTGCTTCGCAAGTTGTCGTACTTGCTTTCGGGATATTCCAGGCAATTCTTGGCCTCTTCCAGTCGACTCGGTCCACCACTCTGCCTCAGAAATGTCTCTATCAGACTCCCCTCTCCAACCGGCTTGTCAGCTGAACTCTCCCACCACATGCCACCGCCTAGGCCGTAATCTCGGACAAAATTTGCTTTTTGAGCTACCACGTCAGGGGTATCATAGCTTATCATGGTATTCGAAGAAGGACAGTAACTCCAGCTGGCACCAACCTCACGATCGTGGTGTTCGGTGCTGTCGGGCTTTGGAAGAGCTTTGTAGTCCCATACACCTTGCTCCCAGCTGCCTTCGCCCACACCATTGAAGGAGTGTCCTGGTCCAGAAGTCGATATGAAGGCGCGACCATACAAGGGCATTCCCAGAACAATCTTTGAAGGATGGACTCCCTGCCTGGTGTAATGTTCGATGGCAGCTACCGAGCTGAACGGTGTACACTGAGGGTGGGATCGGGAAGGGAATAGATTCGCTTGGTGTCCCGCTCGCTGATCCCACGATCCGGCATAGTCGTACGCCATCAGGTTCCAGAAGTCAAGCAGTCGGTCCATCTCAGCGATCTTCAACTTCTCAAAGTTGGACGATCCAGCAGGACAAGCCACGGTCAGATAAAACCTCGCATGATGGCGTTTGGCAGCTGCCGCATCGAGGACCTGCCGGGTTTCCTGAAGCAACTTGACAAAGTCATCCGCCTCGCGTTCGTCCTTGGGGTACTCCCAGTCGACGTCGATACCGTCGAATCCAAGGTCTTCCAGCAGCTTGACGGCCGTCTCTGCAAAGTGTTTCCTGCCACTGGACGTGCTGGCCGGCTGTGCGAAATTTGCCGAGTAAGTCCACCCACCAATACTCAAAAGTACTTTGAGGTTGCGGTTTCTCTTCTTCAGGAGGAACAGTTGCTTCACGCACCCGTATACATTCGTTCCCGTGTCATTCCAACTATCGCCGTCGTAGTGCTTGTCAGTATCAGACCAAGGGTCTGTCAAATAGACCTCGCCGCTGTCAGGTTTGACATTGGCGAAGGCATAGAGGACATGAGTGAGATTCTCAGCAGGGAGGTCTTGAGGATGGTGATTGCGTGCATAGGGTGCCCAGTTGACGTAATAGACGACAGAGCGGATGCCGTGTCCACCACCCATTGTGTGATAACTCTGGCCAAGGTCGAGTTGAGGAATGAACTGGGTCAAGGATCGAACTGGATAGAAAAGGACGATGAAGAGGAAGGTAAGAAAGAATAGCATGTCCCTCCAAGCCGCAGAGTTTATATGAAAAGTCACGACCTAGACTCACTACGTGGCGTGAGGTGATGTTGAAGCTGAATGTCCTGCTGCTGTCTCCAAACCCGTCTGCCTGTAAAGCTGACGGTTGATCGTGACGAAGGCGGAGAGTCTTGAAGTGGCGCAAATACGTGGCTTCGGGTGGCTTGATATGTGGCTGATGACGAGGCTGTGCAAGGCTGTGTTCGCGGCTGGCGCCATTTGAAGCCGCCCGGCAAATTATTGAGGCGGCATCCTTCCCTCGGCATCAAGGCTATCCTCCTCGCTTGCCTTCTCGACCTGAACCCCCCCGTATATTACCTCGTGCATATCCCAGTGAGGTCCCTGTGGCTTCTTCAACTCCCTGGCTCTCTTTCTTTCTTCTGCTGAAATGCCCCTCGAGGTCTTATTCTTCGGCGCTGGCGCCATTGGGGCATTTTATGCTTCCCGGGTGGCTCGCAATGCCAACACCAATGTCTCGGTCGTTTGTCGCTCGAACTACTCAGCTGTCAAAGCCAGTGGCTTCCGGATAACATCTTCTCAATACGGTGACTATAATTGGACACCAACTCGGACATTCAACTCTCCCGAATCTGCTCGCAAAAGTGGTGTCAATTGGGACTTCGTGGTGGTCAGCACCAAAGCGCTGCCCAACGTCTCAGACGATTCGAAACTCCTTGAAGGGCTTGTTGGTCCCAAGACAGCCATTGTACTGATCCAGAATGGGCTGGGCGTTGAGCAACCGTATTCTGAGCGATTCCCCCAAGCAACGATTCTAAGTGCCGTGACAATTGCTTCCTGTGCACAGCCATCTAATGGCTATATCAAACATAATCGCTGGACACGGATAAACGTGGGGCCGTACTTCTCTGACTCAAGCCCACCCGCCGAAGTCAAAGCCAAAGTGACGGCTCAGAACCAAACGTTTGTCGACCTGCTCCTGAAGGGAGGCATCAAGGATGCCATTGCCGACACGCACGAGAAGCTCCAGCTCGTCCGCTGGCATAAGATCGCTATCAATGCATCGATGAATCCGTCAGCGGTGCTATCGGGTGGATCAACCAACGAAGCCATGTCCAACGACCCGGAGCTATCGAGGCATCTCAAGGGCGTGATGGAGGAAGTGCTCACGACCGCACCCAAGGTGGTCGGCAAGCCGTTTCCATCTGGGTTCGCCACTGCCGAACAAATACTTCGGTCGACGCGGAAGAACACAAGCGGGAGCAAGCCGAGCATGCTGCTCGACTGGGAAGGCGGCAAGCTGATGGAGCTGGAAGTCATCTTGGGCAACCCAATCCGGCTCGCCCGGGAGAAAGGATACGAGATGCCCAGGATGCAGACTTTATATGCTCTGTTGAAGATGGCCGAGAAGAACCGGGAAGCTCAGAAGCAGAATAATGCCAAAGGGGGGAGCAAGCTCTGATCCCAGCCAAGGTTGCCCACTACCTGTGTTGGGATTCTTTGTCTCGACCGATATTGTACTGGGTAAAGCCGACCTTGACATCAAGATGAGTCTCAATGTCATCGGAGTGGCGGTTTCAGACTTTTGCTTCTTTCAGGACCTCGTGACCTTCGGACAGTCTGCGAGGCTTCTTCAAATATCTCAAAGAGAGAGCGTTGCGCTGGAAATTCAACGCATGATAGCGAATAGATTGCGAACAGACAACATTGGAGAGAGAAAAAACCCCCAAATGATCATAGAAGTGAGATGAATGTGACTAACATGCAATCACGATTTCTGTTTGACGAGCCTCAGGACATACATACATACATACACACATACAGTGACCTGTCCAAGTCCAGCCTATCCGTGAACTGATGTCCTGATGAATCCTTCCCTCGTACTTTCTTCCACATCCTCTAACCCCCTTGGGTCCCTTCAATCGCCCCGAACTTGCCCCATCCCATTCCCGATCGTGACTGAGGTACGTATGGTGTATTCTTTTCCAACCTCGCGTCCAACCCTTCTCACTTGCACCCGGCCCTGCCACCAAATTCCCCCCCCCCCCTCTCCACGTGTTACCATATCCATCCCTACGACTTACAACTTATTCGTCCACCCCTCGACCTTGTCGGGCGTCGGGCCCCTACCAAACCTCTGCGTCACGGTTCCGCCAAAGTCCGGCACCCACGCACACCTTACCTCGCAGAACTGCTCCTTCTGCGGCGCCCAGCTTGTGGTGGAGTGCTCCAGCACGCCGGCGGGGATGGAGATGATGGTCTCATTCAGCGGTGTCAAAGCGTGCACCTTGGAGCCGCACATCTTACAAAACGCGCGCGACAATGGCTGGCCCGACTGTGTGGCATGGTCCACGTACGTGGTTATGCGATCAGAGCCGGTGTGGAGGGTGTATTGCTATCAGCCTCAAACAAGGAGAGAGGATATGGTTAGGACATTTATGGCATGTAAGCGTGCTCGGGAAGACTAGGAAGAGGATGAGATGGGGAGGGGGAACGGGATGGGAGGGTAGCAGGAGCTCACCTTCTTTAGAAAAATGCTTGCGCAGTGTAATGTACTGCCACCCTGTCGCCTAGAGGTTCTTAGGTGTCAGTCTTGTTCTCTGGCGGAATTGGCCTCGATTCCCTCGGTGGGTTTCAGTGCACTTATTTCCCTTTTGCATCTTGACTCGGAGGCCTGTCCTGATCCTCTTGCCGAATCTTGCTCGAATATGTTGTAGGAGCCCGTATAAAGAAGAAAACAACCTTGAGACTCGCACTCCTTCTTCTAAAAAGCAGGATGTAGCGGAAGGAAAGCACGGAAAGCAACTCCTCAAAACAAACCCCGGGCAACAGAATCCAAAGTCTCAGCCGTGGACAGGACGGTGGTGAAAGAGCAAAGCAGGAAGAGGAACTCGAATGGGTCACACACCTGCAGTTCTCGCAATGGCACACCACGTTATATATCGGCTCGCCCACGACTGTGAACGTCACGGCCCCGCAGAGACAGCGCCCGTGGTCGACCTTGGTTGCCTGTGACTTGTCCTCCGGCATGTCGCCTGAGAAGGACTGACGGGTGGAGAGAGGAGAGTTTGGCAGGGAAAACAGATTCCAACGAGGGACGAGGGCTCTTTGAGAATGGAGAAGGTAGGTGTAAGAACGAGACTGAGGCGAACCTGCAAAGAACGAGTATAGTATCTCCTTGGAATGGCCGACAAGGCCGACTTGTCGATGTTGGAGTAGCTCAGTTCTAATAACCACTAATTGACGGTGAAGAGGGTTCGAGCTAGCCTTGTGCTGCAATGATGGACTTCCTCATCCAGTAAAGAACAGGTGATTCCCAGTCTTTCTAAAAGTACAGTATCTAGACTCGACAATAAAGGGATATTATCTTGCTAACCCAAAACTTGAGCATGGGAAGCAGCATCGTAGAGGAGATTTCCCCACATCATCCTCGAGGATCGCCAACCGCAAGATGATATTAGTCAGGGAATCCTGACACTCAGGATGCTGTCATGCGCGGTTTAACCGATTGGTAGTCGACTCGTCCAGCCTTGTATCAGCCTGATCCATACGCACGTCTCTGTGCTCAAGGTATTGAAAAAGTGTTGGACGGGGCATTTCTAGACGAGGTGTCGCCAGCTCCAAGCTGCTCTGCTGGGGAGACTGTACCTTACAGGGACTGGCTTTAAGAATAGCCCCCTTCGAGTACCCTCCAGCTGTTTTTGATATTCCCTGACAGCTTCATGTCTTGAGCATGAGCCGGGGAAGTGGATGTAGAAAGGTCCAATTGCAGAGATTTTGTCGCTTTCTGCGCAGGGCTCCTTCGACTGGGCATCCTTTCGCCTGGACCTGCTTTTCTGATGCCCGCCGAGTCACGACAGCCCTTTTGTTGAAGCTTTGTTCCTAATGTCTTGCGGACTTTTTGGCCGTCTCCGTTGTTGTGAACCAAGAGCTGGCCACCAAAGTCGCACCCACAACCCATGCTGGTAGCCAAATACACATGACGCCAACGGGAACCCCCCAACTACCCCAGATATTCCAACCTAGAGCAAGCCGTTGTAGCCACTCGACGAGAACATCATCTCGTCCCAAGGCAAAGACGCCATATGTGCCCAATCCTGTTGCTAAGCCCATTGGGCTCATGATGACAAGTATCAGATATTGAAGTAATCCCAGTCCTGGCCTGGAGCGAGTTCTGCCCCCAAAGGCCAACGGTATGCAAACAATACCAAGAAACATGCTGAGACTGAAATTCAGTGTCGCTAGGACTGTCAGGAAGAGGCCAAGTAATAAAAGGCTTAGTGATTTGATTAGAACGTATTGTTCGTGCGTGGGCGCAGAAAGGGTAGGTAACGTGGTGTTGTTTGGCATTTCCGCAAGTGCTGATGCCAGAACTATTGGGAGCACAAGAAGAGCAATTGTTATGAGGAAAAATGTCGAGGACATGGCTTTGAGGTTTAATGAAGTAAGGAGGTACAGCGGGATGAGAGACGCTAAGTGTAGCGCTGTTATGAGGGCAATTGGGAGGACGAGCTGCCTGTCGACAGGTTTGAATTCGATCTTTGACATGGACCCTTTCGACAAAGGCATTTGCTGTTTCGAAACGCCAGTCTTCTCTGTTGGCCCATTTTCCACCTTGCCAACCGCCGGGCCTACTTCTTTCTCGGAGACGTGGTAACCACTCAATATCCAAAGATAGATTGCCATAATCGTATAGGCAGCAGCCATGATCATGGCACCTGGAAGATAAGTGCCAATGCTGACGAACCGATTTGACTGCATCAATAGATAGAAGAAGAAGCTCTGGTGCAGTTTCTCGAGCAGATTATTGAGACTTCGGCAAATGCTTTCAATGGTCCTTCCAAACGCCATCTCATCCTGCCAGCCTTCTTTCGTTGCTGTCAAGGTGATAGCATCGATATGGTAAGTCATGAAGGTGGAATGGGGACCGGTTGCGTGGCCGAGGGCTTGAGAAGACATTCCGCGGATGAGTGTTTGAAGGCGCACAGGGTAGGAACTGTATTGCTCATGCTTGCTGTAGGTGTGCTGAAATTGGATAGACGTGCTAATACCCATCTGGCCCGATGCAATAGACACGGCGGTGTTGAAGAGATCGAGATTAGGGAGTGCGCCGTTGATACCATCGTATGCAACGTGAAGGTTCTCGAAGGGATGTTCAAAGGGATAATCGATGCAAACGGCGGCCTGAAGTGCACCGGATTTCAACGACAGGTCTTGCACCTTGTATGGATCATGGGTGGAATGGTACGCATCAATCCATGCTTGAGGCCCTGCAGCACTGTCCGGAGTGACCAGAAATATAATGTCCTTCGACCAGAGTGACCAGCGCTTGAAATAACGCGACAGGGAAATGAGGAGCGGCACGCCATTGATGTTTGGGAAGTCGTCGATGTTCTTGAGCGGTGCAACAAGTACGATTGCTTCGGTTCCATCTCCGCGAGGGGCGTGCAGAACGGCATAGACGTTCTCGCCTGCGTAAAGTTGACCCGACGAGATGTAAGAGTACCGTTGCCGTGCGGTCTTCAAGCCAGCATTCTGAAAGAGTTCTTCAATCTTGTCACTTATCCTATTCTCCCAGGTTCTCTGCTCGGCTCTTCTCAGCGTCTCGTTGCCGGTAGATATCGAGGCATCTCTCAGGACCGTAGCCAACTCCTGTCGATACGCTCGAAAAACATTCTGTTCGCTACCGCCGAAGTAAGTGTGGACCTGGCCAGGAAGAAGCGCGTTTTCTGAGATGTAAGTCTGCCGAGAGTATTCTTGCAACGGTAAGGGTAGGATCCATGCAATGCCAACGAGCATACAGAGCAGCGACAAATACGGGGGAATTCGAAGTAGTCGGGGATCGTCCTTGCGGAGACTGGAGATGAGGTTTCCTAGAGACCCAGTTCTTAGTTTGTTGCGGATTGCTGAACAACTGACGGCAGACTTACGTATGAGGCCCATTCTGACCTTACTCGGCTCATCCAAGGCTTCACCGCAAGGCCTCCGTGCACATTGAGATTCGGGACGAATCTACTCAAGGGGAATCTGGACACCTTCGACTTCTCGAGCTGCCGAAGATTAGCCGCTCAATGAACGCTTACAGGTACTTTTTCTGGACGGCAGGCAAATACTCTGTACATATCTTGTCTTCATTAAACCATTGGCAAATATGGCTACTAGTACATCGAGCAACATGTCTACGGACGTGACCCTCCATTTATCCAATTCAGGGTCGATCCAACCATCCAAGGTACTGCACGCTTGATACAACACAGTTTTCGAGAGGCCGAGTCCGTCCAAAACTATCTGTTAGATGGTCATGGCCCAAGCCTTTGTCCATCACTATTCGTGCCCATCCAACCGAGTCCTATCGGACTCATATGGACTTCTGTTCCACTAGCTGAACTCGTGGGAAGAACGCCATACCGTCCATACGTCTTTTGATCCACAGACACATAGTGCGGTAATCGCCCAAGCAGATTGAGTTTGCCTTCGATCCAGCGAAGGACTTTCTCCGGAGGTGCGAGGAAACGAATATAGCCCAGACCCCCTATTTTGATAACAGTTAGACCCTGACGCTCTGGCAGCAAGGGGGAGGTTAAAGGATATAAAAACACGCACATAGATATCCTGTTACACACCCACTGAGGTGCCCCAGAAAGGAAGCACTGGGGATCAGTATGGAGGTAACAACCAATAGAACCAATGGCGATATCCAAGTTGGGATCTTTTGGTCTGCGATCCTGTTGGCCAGATGGTCAGCACCTTGTCGGAAAACTGGACGCTTCCCGATGTCAAGAGGGAACACGACAAGGACGTACTCCAGATATGGATTTGCCCGATAGGTTTTGATTGCTTCGGCGGCAAGAAGGAGGAATACCCATATGCTGGTCGCCCGTGTCAGCCTGTCTCGTTCGCCGAACTGTATGGCTTTCCCTACCTCGCCCCGAGGACTGGCGTATTGTCTCTAAGGATGACACCGTCCAACAATAGATATAATACCGCAGGTATTTGTCCCAGTGCTATGGTATCAGTTAGCAGCCACTCTTCTCATCGAAACCGAGCCATCCGAGTTCTATCTCCTCCACATAATTCATGTCAGACTTACGGCCCATAAATAAGGCAATGCTGTTCAACGTGCCAAACTCAGCCTCGAACCTCTCTAGCAAGGGCATCAGGCAAATGGTATTGATCAACATGTGCCAGAACCCCGTGTGTATCAAGACAAAGGTGTTCAGCCTGTACAGGCTACCCAGGTTGATTTCCCTAGGTTCCAATGAGCCCCATTTGATCACACTCCACACGGTCTGCAGTTCGAGCAGCCAGAACGCTACTATGGCGAGGAGGATCAGGCGCGTAAAGAGAGGGAGACGTAGAATGTAGGATCGTATACGCGATGGCTGGATCAATCGGGTTGGGAGAGGGAGACTGTTGGTCGTTATGCGAGGCGCCGCTCGAGGTGCGGCCATTCTAGTGTGAAGCGGAGGAAGATGGCCAATTCAATGCTTTGTCAGAGGCTGGACTTGACGGCAGATGTGCGGCGCATGGGGCTCGTATGAATTCGAGGTCTTCAACACGTAGAAGGACAGTTATAGTTGCTGTAGTACGCCATGACCGGGGGGGGTTCACTGTAAGACTAGGTAGAAGTAAAGTGTCTCGTGCCAAAGAATCAATCGACGAATCTGTTTGGGAGATTTTTGGAGTCACTGGAGTTGCTGGAGAACGAAAATGATTGATTAGCGGGCCCAGACTGCGGAGAAATTGCAGGTCGATCCTGCTGAAATTAGTGGCCTCTCCTTGGAGTTAACGAAGTCTTTACTCTTGCCTCGACCTCATATCAAATGCTTCGTTCAATTTCTCTTATTCCATCACTCCAGCACGTACTGTAGGAGAAGACCTGTCCACACATTTCTCTATCCCTACATGCCCAGTAATCCATCGCCATCTCACTCAATATGACGCCGCAGATGCTTGAGCTTCAAAGCAATAAGTTGAACTCGCTACCATCGACTGCCAACCCGGCCGTTGCTTGTCAAAGCCTACGACGGGCTGTCGAACATATGGCACAAACATAATCAGTCTCGTCTCTGTCCACAGCATATACCGGTCGCAGGTATCTACATACCACACACCCTGCGACTCTGATGGCTGCCTCACCCTCACTTCATCACCACGTCTGCTACTGCCCAGTCCTCTCAAACACAGGTTCTTTCGGTGACAAGGCTAGAAGCATTCCCATCTGGTTTGGATGAACACGAGCCACTCATGTAATATTGCCCGTCAAGTCCAACAACACTGCTGATACCATGCCAAGGTCCCAACCCTATATCTCGTCTTCTATACGGCACATGTGGCGATTCTTTTGTGCTGGAGACTTTATCACAGGCAGATGGTCGAATGCCATCAGCGCCAACTAGGGGGTGTGGTGCTAAGTCGGACCATGGCCTCAACGCCTCCTTTGTGGGTTTGCCGGTCTTTCGTTCAGCAGCTCTTGTTTGCTGAGACACGGGCACCTCGAACAGCGAGCCTGTACATGCTAAGTGCTCATCGAGGTTGGCGTTGCTTGACAAACTGATTGATGTTTTGCTGTTCATGGTGAGTCTGTCCCGTACGACTCGTCAGTATGTGTCCTTGGAGATATCATCTAGCCCTCACAGAAGTCCATGGAAAAGCTGTTTCGGCTTGGGCGCCTCGGAATTCTCAGGTGTCCTCAGACCTATCCCATGCTCAAGTGCAGCCTCAGAAAATGAGGGATATATACCCTCGGGCAGGAGACTTCTGAACATTGCTGTGTGGCTTGTCTGTTGGCTTAATCCATGTCACCATTTCCAGATTCGGGTTTCACTTTATGAATTTCCTTTATAATGCTAGGCCGTGGCATGGATCGAGATGCGACTTCTTCGAGCATCGACTCATGAAATATAGCACAAGTGGAGAGCCCCCGAGTGGACTATCAACAAGCGCAAGGCTGTCTGTTCCTATTCATCATTTCCTATTCAGGAATACTCGGACGCAACATAAACAAAGGATGTCATGCGGAGAACACCTCTTGGCCTGGACGTGCTTGGTGCTGGCGAGTTTGGTGGCTCTATTAAGTCAGGGGCTGCATGAGACAAAAGAAGTAACCGGCGAGCGGGTACATACTGTAAGAGATACTGACATGTTACAATCGCACGGTACACCTGATCGGCTCTCCACGGCGTGCTAATCTCAAACCGGAAATTTATAATCGGGGATCTGGCGCTCGATTGCCATTGCAAGTGTTCACCCTGCAGCCAATCAATTCGACGCCGTCAAACAGAATTGCTGGACGCGCATTAGGAAATGACAAGCAGTTTAGCCCTGCAAATAGATCAAGTTCAAGTGTTCTCCCACCACAACCTACTCTCACCCTGTCTCTCGAGCTCCTCCCCCTTGACGCACTTTCGTTGTGAAAAGTAAGTGCACAAGTTGGGAGAAGAACTTTCGTCAGATTAGAACGGGCGAAGCGTGGGTTGTCGCCGCCTGATAAAAGTGCCCATTGTCTAGCCAGTTCAAAGTATTGCACCACATTCTAGGCCTTTAAGCCTAGAGCATGACATACTCCTCAACGTGTGCACACGGCGCATCTCAAGCTCCTCCCACGCGAAGGGCGGCAAATCGCGCTTTGTAAAGCCCTACGATCCTGCAAATCCGCGCCGAGCGAAAAACCTCGATGACCTCGACTGGGAGCCTTGTAAAAGGGGCAGTGACAAAGGTATCACGAACGTGGTCATTGCCGAGCACAGAAGATCCAACTGCTGGGGAATGAGCAGAGTTTCTTTGCTTCGTAAGTCATGCTCTCTGGGGAGCGTTGTCTCAGATGGATGGACGAACGAAACAGTCCGCGGGTACCAAATGAAAAAGACGCCGAATCCATTATACCAGTTCACAAACTGTGGTTACGAATGTCTTATTGATTAGTTTCCGAGGCAGGGGTGTTTCCCACTGCCGCTATGAACAACAACCAGCTAAGCTAAGCTATATACTAGGTAGGTAGCTGTGGTGGTAATAATTCTATGTGTTTGGTTTGGTTTGGGGGTGGGGTATCACTTTGATGATGGATGGATGCGCGGGACGCCTATGTATGGCAGTAGTGCAGTTGCAGAGTAGTGACAGCAGAACGTGAACCGGCATTGACGGCGTCTCTGTAAAAAAGGGGGGTATCGTCGCGATTTGAAAAAGCAGATAATAATATGAGGATGATGATGATCCTGCCTCCTCCTTGCGTTGCTTTCCTCTTCGTCTTCGTCTTCCTCATTAGATATCCTCCAAAAATCAAGGCCGTGGTGTCGTAAATTATCGTATAGCAGGGGTATCGTCTTCTGCGTGGCAAAGCCATGTGTTTGATGCGAGGAGCCGTCCAGCAGGTTTAAGGATCGTAAGAAGCCGTATAACGTAAAAGCACCGGCGGTTCCGGTGCAGAGTGTGATGGGACTTTGTTCGATTCGTCTGAGATATTTTTGTTTGGGTCGAAATTCTGTGCACGGCTTCGCCTGACACAGTCAAACCAGGAAAGCGCCCCACAGAACGTGATTCAACCCTCAAAATCTCGGGGCCGCGCCCCTGTTTTCCCTCCTCATGGCCCAGCCCTTGAGTGACAGCACGACGATCTCATATGCCATGATGAACGCCGTCAACCCACAGGTGACGGTGAGCACAAACATGGCCATCAGACCTGTCGTCTCCATGTAGTGGATGATGTCTCGGGCACTGGCCATGAAGATGAATCCACCACTGATCAAGCAGAAGGATGCAACCAGTTCGGTGGGGGGACGGGTAGGATAGAGCGACTTAGGTGGGGAGAGGAACATAATGATGTATGTGAACATTCGAGCAACACCGAAGCCGACCAGCAGCGTGCCCCATTGTGAGTGTACTTTGGTCGAAACCATCGAGTCCTGGTGGTGCGAGGACATCATGACTCCGAGGAGGATGATGAC